TCAGTTTTTTAAAAAGCTTGACTATAATCTATCAGTGTTTCAGATTCGATAAAAGATTGCAGAGTTCTGCTTGAGATGTATATGAAATTGTTGTTTAGTAATCTGACGAATTTCAAATTCTAATCAATTTGCTCCGTTGATTTATTTCACAGTAAGCAAAAGTGCGAATCTCCCTATCTAGAAGACAGATCATGACAGTACCCATTATATTGCAATCTTATTCGAATTTGAAACTTTACTTTTAAAATGTACAACATTACTGCTAACCATACGATTTGTTCAAAGGAAAATTAACTGATTTTCAAAAATCTGTCCAGAATTCTTCGAAAACTAGTGAGTTTTCCGGTAATTCCTCCGTGTATTTAAGGGTGAAAATATCTTGAAGAGCAAGTCGCTTTTACCTATTCACTTGATACTAATTTATGCCAGTTGTATGCCACGCAGAGGCTTCCACCGGCACGTTCTGGGTCTAAAAACCTAGCCTTTTTGTTCATACGGAAATGAACAGTGTGCGCCAGCAGATTACAACACAGCTGTCTAACCAAAGCTTGATACATACAAGAAAGTACTTAGTTGGAAAAAGAGTGCAAATCGCAGCAAAAATTGCTTAAACCAGATTTAGTAGACAGCTTGGGCACTCGTGTCTGTAATTACGTCAAAAGAGAGTGACAGTGAAGGCATCAAAATGTGCGCAATTTGTAAACTTTGGCCTTTCAGGAGGGGACTCGAAAATGACTGACAGATCTACTTGTTATTTGCATATAGACGAGTTATATTTTTGATACTATATGGAACCAGGCATTAAAGTACTGTGTGGTATTCTCAACAGCCTATTGGAGTGATTGCATTTCCGCAATCACTGTCTGCAATCCTGTCTTGTAAACAGTCTGCACATTTTATGAAATATCGATCAGATTGAATAACTGCGCGTCAAAAAATTTCTGCACTAAAATGTTGAAAAAATAGCAGTGGTTGTTAGTGAGGATCTGCTTATATCAATTTAGGCCGTTTGAGACAGCGGCGGCAAAAATGTTGCGAATTGACTGTCGCAAAGTGAGACACGATCCGCGAGGGTGCTTTCAAAATTCATCTCAATTGATGGCACCGACAAAGCGTGGCTATGCTGCTTCTAATACTTGCATTTGTGAAATGGTGGTATAGTGAATGGTGATACGCCAAACAGATGCTGCACATTTCAATTCTGCTTTTGTGGTTAACGGTAAGTGGACTTAGTTCTTAAGCTAATTTTCAGTTAATTGCTCAACAAAAGTTATCCTGGCAAATGGAATTTTAGATAAGTTAACTTCCAGGAGTACATAGAAGCGATGAAACATGAATATTTTTCAATGCAACTTACCATGACGTGATGTGCCTGCGTTGCTTCCGAAGCTCAATGGAATCTGATAGTGGATCGAGGACACATCGCATAATAATGGCTAATCTGAGGATCTCCTCGGAAAGCTTCACAGCTAGGTTTTATCTGAACGCAACAAACCAATAAAGAACTTTGAATGCATTTTGTCTTGTTTCAGGTTCCAAGCTAATTCGTGTTGCATTGAAATCACTTATCCTCCTTTCATACCAGAAGTGACGCCAATTACGTTTAATTTCCTCGTAAATGGGGGATATTTACTGTTGTTCCAAAAGATTTACAATTCTTAGGAAATTTCCTGTAGCCATTCTCTTACCAAAGGCATGAAGTTTGGACAAGCTATTATTATTAAGATTTTGGTGGTATGCTGGTGGGAAGGTAAGAGGAGAATTTAATAAGCTTTTCTGATAAAAGTAAGGACAGGCACAATCTCCTCTAACGTATCCAGCCATCCAGAAAAATGAGAAAGAATTGTCATTTTGATCCCGCTTTTAATACTTGCAGCATATTTATCGTAACATTTAACAATCCAATTTTGTTCACATCTGATTTTAAGAAACATATTTAGAAAGAGCGATAAAATATACCTTTTCTAATATTTTGATGCTACATAATAGACAAGCTATTTAGGGCCCTTTTATGTCGAGTAATTATCCAAGCAGGTTCTCACTTCTAAGCGACTTGCTGCAATCAGTAACTGTCATAGCACACTTGGTACTGAAGCTGATGAAGTTATTTTAAGTACAAGCAATACATTATAAAATAAGCAAATATGTTAGGAAATTCTTGAAAACGATCGAGCAGTTATCGTTTTCTGAAGGTCTGGTTACAATCGGTAGATTCGTTGCTGGGCAACTTTCGGCTTTTGACGCGAACGCTTTGTCAGGCCAAGTGACTAGGTTACGAGGTTGGTCGAGATTTAAGGCGGATGGAGAACCAATCAGCTAAGTAAAGCTAAATCTCCGCTGGGTTTCGGTCGAGTGATTCTTGTGTGTTAGGGTGGGTGATCAAGTGTTGGACCGATAGGGGGACCTACGTGGGTTGAGGTCTAGTCTAGGGTCTAGTGCTTCTGGTTCGGTCCACTTGATGATCCCTCTTGAGAGTCATTTGCACTTTCCCTCCGTCTGTGTGGATAAACTAGTGCTAGGATAGTTTTGAACACAATGGTCGGCTTGGGATTTCCATCCCCAACCTCTGTTTCTCCCTCCGCCTTAAGCCTTACCAATCTTGTAACCTAGTCGCTTGGCCTAACGAAGATTTATGTCTAAACGAAACGTTGCCCAGCAATACACCAACCGATGGATACCAAAGGTTTCCGAAAGCAATGAGCAACTATTGTTTTACAGCACTTTTGGTAATGTCAGATTATTTTTTAATATCTTCTATCGCCTGACAATGTTTGATACACATTTTTGATTCCATATTATTGGGTTGTGAGACAAACAAAAGTTTGGTTCATTTCAGTAGACATGAATACACTGCATATGACAAAATTTATATGTTACCATAATTTTCTAAAAGCCCGCAGTAGCTAACTTTATCACGGCACCGTCAAAAATGGAAATACTGTCACCTGCGACAGACACCGTAAACGAGAGAAAAAGGTTTTGTGCAGATTTGCTGTAGTGTTTTATTGTATTCCTCTTTTGAAACGACCGTGTTCTTAAGCGGCTTTCTAATATTGGCTTATCGCAGTGGTCAATATGCATGATGGAAGCTGTAGTGTATACATGTTTCCATAAAACCAAAATCAAGTTGAACGGGGCGCAAGGTTGCATTGGGTTGTTTTTCTAAAGCTCAGTGTTTAGGAGCTCAGAGATAAAACTCGTCAGGCGTTATGAGCCTTAAATTTGCGTATATTTTGTTTTGGTTCTGATGATAGGCCTACATCTGTGATATTTGGATCTTCCATCGACTGCTTCGTAAAATTGGAGCCTTAAGGTGAACTGAAAATCGTGTAAATTTGAACCAAAGAATAATGTGTGCATCTTTTTTAAAGACTTTTAATAAAATAATTACTGTTTAAATATTCTCAGCTGCCAAAAGTGCAGTTAATGACACATTTTGAATTGGGGAACAATGGTGGAACAAAATGGTGCGGATTTATCCTGTAGGAGTTAAGCTGGCAAACTCTACGCTGTCTATACCTTATCAGTTGTAATTTTACGTTGGATACTATAACGATTTGTCTGTAGTTAAAACAACTAAAGTAAAATGTCGGTTGCATTATTTGCAGCAGAATTAGAGTTACTACAAATCAAGCAAAAGTGAAAACAGTTGACTGGTTGCAGCCGCAAGCATTATATTTTCTATTATTTTTCGGGACTGCAAATTGGTTCTGCAGTAATCTGTGATAAATATCTTGAATTTGCGGAGACTGGTTGCCCGGGTTCTATATATTTAATGATTGCTTATACAGTCATAGTAGGCGCTTGATTTAACGTTTGTTACATCAGCGCGATAGGCATTTAAATGTAATGAGATCGAAATAAGCCGCGAGTTGCCGTTTTATGAGAAGGTGCTCTTGTCATTATGTCACTTAAGACTGCTCAGTTATTGAATAGAGTGTATATCGGCAAGAGATAAATTACATTCACTGTAGACTGTGAAAATGATATACAAATTTTTCGCCAAAATTGTTAAAAATTTGAAGCCGTTGAAATGTTTTCAAAATTACTTACATACCTCGTTTATAACCCCATTGCTTGAAAGTGGAATGATTTTAGTGCCCTCATGGCTTACGTAATGAAATTACCCACTAAACGTTCTTTCGTTGCAGAAAAGAATAACAAATATTTCTATGTTTTAGGTCTTATAGGTCGTTGCTCTTCTGACGCCTGACTAGTACCACTTAGTTAACCTCATTTTATTAAGATTTAGGGTGGTTTGAAAACTTTAGTGGTTTTATCATAAATAAGGTGGATTTTAGACTTTTAGCTGGATTAGGTATCTGTCAAATATTTCAAACCCTTCCAGAAATGTAATTAATTTTTATGACATTTGCGACATTTCGTCCAAACAGAATGGTTGTGATCAAGTTGCACGTTAGCCTCAAAATTGCCATGTGTTAACAAAATAATATCAAATGTAAAACGTATGGTGGCTTCACAGGAACGAGGTGTACGTTGATCCACAAGGAATATCATCTATAACTTTGCATTGTGTTTAATCCATTTCGTTTTATGATTTCGACGTATAATAATACCAGCACCTTTGAAGGCCTTGCTGTGTGTAGATAACTTACTTTATAAACTGCTCACAGATGATACATAATGATGCGGGCAGAATGACTTTTGTGACCTCTAAATATGTCGATTGACATTTTAAGCGCAAACAACTTTCCAACAATTTTTTGTGCTGCATTTATAACGCCTACAATATGGTTAGTTTGCTAGAGACGTATGGTAGTAAGGAAATAAAAAATGTTTGCCTCAAAAATTAACTCTTCGAATTGACAGTATTTTTATTTATAGGCACCCTTTATCAAAGCTAAACGTTAGTTATATGCCATAGCACCAAATTATCAGACAGTTTGCTGTCACATAACACCTCTGATAGATTTTGCTGCGTTTTAGCAGAGCGTTTTACTTCTATCACGTAAGTTTGGAATACCAAAATATCGACTCACTTGAGGCATCAAATTGAGTTTTGTTCCAGACCAATCGGTCTGACCTAAATACATATCAATATATAGTGGACACGTTCCTACTCCGAGGAAAGTATTGTCCAATAGGATTAGTCATCTAGCAGCCTATCCACTCTGGAAGGATCACCCCTTCAAAAAGAAGATAAAAAATATTTTCCCGGAAAAATTGGTTTAGAGAAGCTAGAATCCGTCTGAACTTTTGTATGTCCCAAAATGTGGGTAATTTTGTGCTAGATTTTCACGACGTGATTGTGAAAACCAAAACATTGAAAACTGAAAAATATGTTTTACATTGTCGTATGAAAATTATTGTTCCAAACAAAACCTTTTGGGCCAAAAGCAACCCAGTGTGACACTACTGTAGTTAGTCTAATCATCATCGCGTTTAATGTGGATCTTTGGATGGGACATTTTTCACGTAAGGGAAACTGCTAAAGCAGTCACGTAACAAACAAAACTATTGTGTTTTAGCCAAAACTTGAACAAACCTTCCCGTATTTAGGGAGAAGCATACAAAAGAAGACTGCAACCCCAAAGTGGCTGAATGTTATTTTTTCTTCAACTCTTTCTGAATCAGCTTGAGAGTATTTGCACCAGTTGGTGCGAAGTATTTTCAGCAAGTTCCTTTAGCATTCGCTTCTCTTCAACTATATGTCTTGGTACCCCCTATGATTGCTACCTGTCAGTAGTTCAAAACAGCTAGCAAAGCCAGGCAACTAATAAACACCTGAGTGTTCATCACATACTGCCCTCTATTGTAAATCACTTGCCACTTTTTCAACATCCATCACTTTGGAAATTCTTGATAAAATTAAGTTTGTTACGTTTTCACTTATTGTAATTCGAAATGACTGCCATTTTTGCCCTTCATCCCGTTTACCTTTGGTCCAAAATGTACACTGTTTAACACAGTTTCCAAGCGTTTCAAAATACACGGATAAAGAGTGACGTTTTAAAAAACTTCAAAGTTGCTTTTTAGCCGCGCCTTCCGTGAAACTAAACTGTGTTACCCTCGAATTTTTGCACTTTAATTTTGTTGGAAAATTACTCAAGTAACTAAAATGGTTAGGTGCCGAATTTACGAATGTACTGACGGCATTAATTTGAGTAACTTTTCTAGGAGGTTCACATCAATGAGAAAGCCACCAGTGGTGGTATTTTACATTAGGTCACCACCCTCGTTGCGCACGCAGCCATTTCTGGTAAAATAATTACAAACTTCATATAAGTTAGAGCTTTCCGTTGCCAGTAAATACAAGAGTTGACACTAAGTATGGCAATAATTTACATGAGCATTTTCTAGTTAGCATCTTTCGGCTTGCGAACAGTTCCATTATCATGGTAGTGCTGTAGGTCAGCGCGGTACAATAACTGATCTATTGAGGATATATCTAAGTTACCTTTCTCAACACAAGTGACATTCAGAGCTCAAAAGCATGACGGATTATCTCTTGGTTGAGGAGATGTTTATTTCTATTGCTTTATTAAATGTCTAGGACCCTCGGCCTGGATGGAAGTGAGGAACACACGGCTGAGAACTGCATTTCAACCGGCGTACCCATCCCACAAACTTGCGGGCATTGTTGGTCACTCAGTCTTCCTACGAAAAAAAACTGAGGCGTCTGATTTTTCGTAGCCGTAAGCAAGATTTTTCTGGGATATTACGAGCTGGTCTACGCTGAGCTCGAGTTCATGTATCACGTGGGATTATTCTGGGCCCAGTTATTCACAAACAACCGCTGGTTTAAGCCATACAAATGGTAGAATATAGTTCCTACTGTGGATTAACCACAATTGTGCAAATTTTACCCAAATAATTGTGAGATGCCTTATGATATTTTGAGAAGATCGCTTCGAGATAAGCCTACTGTGAATTTTCGACTGCACCAAGACTCAAGAGTTCACTGCAAACCTTTGGCATCTGGTTACGAGAGCAGCAAAAAAGGCGCTGAATTTTGAAGGATATATATAAAGTAAGTCAGATGGTGAATGATGATACTGTTGTAATCCTTTGTACTAGACCGTGCGTTCGAAATAGTAAAATTCTGCAGGAAACTTCCTTAACTGACGAGACAAAAGCTGCAGTGTTCACGTTTCCAATCCGTGGCGCATTTCGAAAATTCGGAGTCACGTTAAACCTTGTGCATTTGTAATACAAATTAACCGACCTTTACTTTTTCGTAAGTGTCTGCATATATTTTTGGCCGGATGCAAACTTAATTTGAGAGAAAATAAAGTGTTTAAAAGGCGACAGAAGTGGGTTTAAATCTCATTTTCTTCGCAAACTGTATGTCCAAAGACACATGAAAATTTAGACAATGCCACAGAGAATGCAGAATCAAAGCAAACAATTCTTAGACAGACGGACACGACTTTTAATCATTTGAGGCATTTTTCATTAGAATCACATTAAGTGTGGCCATTTTAAGATGGTAATGAACTTAGACCTGTTTTGCAGTCCTCGGTATATGATATAGGTTACCAAGGTGTAACCGCCTTGTATACAGTAGAACAATGGTGTAATTTGGTGCAGTAAAATTTTTTCTTCATTTCTGTCTTAGATGGTGGTTGCGCGCGGCGTAAAAACTCCAACGGGTGATTTAATTAGGGGGTGATTTTAACCCAATTTATGGTCTTCCGGTGGAGGATGGCTAGAAAGGAGACAACCAAAAGTATAGCCAACGCAGTATTACAGTAGTCGTGCAATAGTAGCAGAGTACAGTACAATGCACACTACGATAATCTGACGATTCGATGATTCTTAAACAACTTCGTACAGGTAGATAAAGGGATATTATAATCAGTTTGTTCAAAATAACGTCCAACAAACTCAAACACATTGGCGAAGGTTTGTAATTGACCTTATGTAGCAGTTTGAAACTATCAAGTACGTCTTCACCAACTGCGCGTTTCAATGGATGGTACTTCTGATGACCTTTTCCAATGAGATTCTTACTGTGAGAATCGGCGGAATGTTCGTAGTGTTGAAAATTGGGAAACTATGTCCACTGGTATCTTTGAGAACGGATTTTCCATAGAAAGCTTTCTGACGAAATTGGAACGCACAAATTTCAGAACACTTGACAGACGTGCGGCTGTGAGATACTGCAGATCTCAAGATTTCCGGTTCAATAAATGCGCGCACGCATGTAAACATACACTTACATATATACACGTATTAAACTTGTGCACATGATGCCGAGCAAACATTATTTTCCCATTGGTCCCTTACCAACATTTATCACAGTATTTGATGTGTGTTGAGCGATTGATTGATAGCGAACCACTGGACTTTGTTCACGAGGAGATCTTAATAATTACGAAGCTTTAATGACAGTAAATATAACGTAGATAGGCGTCACATGGCTTCATTGTGACTGCAAACACGTCGGAGGTTTCACGTTTCAAGAAGGTGGAGGAGGTTTAAACAGCCCATCCATCTATAACAAGCAAATAGACAAAGCTAGTAAAGCTTTATTAGCTGTTTTATGGGTTTTTGTAGGCAAAAGATACCGTATTTGCACGTTTAGTCCACAAAAACAGATTTCTTAGATATTTTGAAACATTTTTAATACTTGAATGAAATTCAAAATGAGTAAAAAGGATTGATGTGATCTGAATGTGGAGGACTTTGGCACTGGACCTTAGTGAATTGCTTCGAAATACTGATTTTCAAAATATTTTTTTATTTACAGGGAAGCACAGGGTACTCCATACAGCAAACGGATTAGCTTCCATTGCAAACGGAGATTTCCGTGCAATGTGCGCAATCTTCCTTGACAGTCCTTATTTCTGAAGTGGATAAACTCATCCGGAATAGACGGTTTGGTGGCGGAACAGAGCTTGACTACTCTTCATTCAACCGGAGAATTCTGTGCAAAGAAATAATCATCAAACATTGTTCGCAGGTACGTTGAGTATGACTCTTGGAAGGTCCAAGCAAATCGAGATAGCGTGACTGTAAATTGGTCCACTTCGAAGATCGTTCAAGTTGCAAATTTAGGACTCGTGCTATTTCCGCTGAACCGACACCCGAATAAATTAGCGAAAGTAAACTCTTTTTACTTAAAACACAATAAAATACCTTTGCAAAGTAAAAGGCAGGATCTTGCTGCATAAATGAGATTATCGGCTGAAGTGAGACGAAGTTATATAATCTTGGAAATAAAACTGCATAAGTACACGGGATTAGATGGCAGCAATTTCGGTGCTAACTATTGTGAATCCAGAAATTATTGCTAACAGCATTTTATAAAGCTGTCTAGACTAATACTTGATTAAAATTCAAACAATAACGTTTGGGAAGAAATGACCTTTTATCCCCGGGTGGGTAGGGAATCAGTAACCCCATTTCATACAGCATTGACTGTGATAATCCCCTTGCTTAATTGTGATTAGTTACGGTGGGAAGATTAATCGGCTTGCTGAATACCTGGATTGTAGTCGCATATGTTTGACGGACCGTGACGAAATTTCGCTAAAAATTTTCGTTGAAATTTACCAGGATTATCATAATTGGCAGGAGTCAGGTTGTCAGGGGATGGTAGGGGGTAAACTAAGGCTTCTGAGGGTGGGAGTGTGTTAAAAAGATTTTAATTGAAAATGCGCCAATAAATCAGTGACCATTTATTTGAAGTATGGTAACAAATAAAATGTGTTATTTCTAGTAAGTTCATCGTCGCAAAAAGTCACTACCTGACGGTCAAATTAAGGCAATCAGTGATCAGTAACCCATTTCATACAGCATTGACTGTGATAATCCCCTTGCTTAATTGTGATTAGTTACGGTGGGAAGATTAATCGGCTTGCTGAATACCTGGATTGTAGTCGCATATGTTTGACGGACCGTGACGAAATTTCGCTAAAAATTTTCGTTGAAATTTACCAGGATTATCATAATTGGCAGGAGTCAGGTTGTCAGGGGATGGTAGGGGGTAAACTAAGGCTTCTGAGGGTGGGAGTGTGTTAAAAAGATTTTAATTGAAAATGCGCCAATAAATCAGTGACCATTTATTTGAAGTATGGTAACAAATAAA